CAGCAGCGTCGTAGCGACCGTCGCGACCGTCGCGACCGCCGCCACCAATACCACCACTGACCAGTGAAACACTATCCACCCACCCACCACGATATAGATACTGCAACAATCGGCTAAACTCCCCGATAACTTTACGTAGCTGATCCCTCGTATACGTTATGCTTGCAGCCGTTCCTCCACTTTTCTTCTACCTACCATTTACTGTATATTTACTCGACGTCCAAGCATTCACATCTATTTTTCCTTTCTTTCTTCCAGCCTGATTATACGTACGTGCAACGGTACCGCCTAAAACTCGAGCGTTTCTAGAGGGAAGAACAGGAAAGACGAATACCCTGCGTATCCTGTCTCGTTCGAGTTACAGGTTACGCGTGTTCTTCGTTTCCTTAAAAAATGGCTAACGAAGTAACAGCGAGAAACGTATAGATAGATATGCGTCTGGAGACGTAGGGTAGGAAAGAAGCAGAGAGAGAGAGAGAGAGAGAGAGAGAGATGGGGGAGGGAAGACAAAGTGGGCTGGGAACAGGCACCACGTGGTTCACGCGTGGTACCGCGACGCTTCCGTTTCGTTTCTCTCTCGCTCCACCCTGGCTATTCGAAAATATAATTTGCTATAAATTCGCACGAACAAACGAGCGTCGTCCTACTAATATGTCTCTATCGTGGAAAAGCTGGCCTTTGCGTTCGATTTGTCGAACTGGCGATCGTTCGATTTCGGACAACTCGTGATTCTTCACCGACGAGAAGCCAAAGGGGACGGGTATAAACGGTTGAACAGTGGCAAATTTGTTGGATGTACGAAAACACGATTGTAATAGCCGTGTCGTGTCGATGGCGTCTGTAACTTTTGCGGTTCTCGACAGTCGGTGTAGAAAAGCAGCAGAAAAGATAGAAAGAAGGGATAGAGAGAGAAGCAAGCATAGCTGTAAGCATATTGATCAGAAGACGGTAGTTGGCCTCATGCCACGTGGTGATGCTGCGAGAGGCGCCGGACTCGTATTATGACCCAAGGCTTCTATTCTCCTCTCTTACTTTCTCTACGATTTTCCTATACGATCCTTCCCTTCTTTCCCCTTCTTCCACCGTCATCGTCCCCGAAATTCATCTCTTACTCTCCGCCCCGTCCTACCGTCATTATTTCCAATCTCTTTCGTCCCGTAAGTATCGAGAAAGATATTCGAGAATATGCAAACTTACGAGCAAAATCTTCTGACGCCCCGCGTCTGAAATTCTGTGTCGCTTCGAACAACCACTTATTTCATCTTCTTCTTTCCCCTTCCATGTCCTTTTTATTTTCCTTTATTAATTCCGATCGATCCGACGTACGAACGACTGCTCGCCCTATCTTTCTTCTCTTTTTTCTTTTCTGGATTCCCATTTTCTTGAATTTTCTCATTCCCTCGCTCCTCTTTTGTACTCTATATAGGTCTCATAACCTTGCGATTCGACGCCCTTCCTCCGGATGGCATCAACGCTGACAACCTTGAACAAAAGGAAAATCGAAAAGAGAAGCTGATATTATTGCAATAGGCAGAAAACAGGGGGGCTGTAGATTTTCTGCTTCGGCTTTACGACACCTTGTAACATTTTCTCGCAACAACCGAGACATTTTCTTCTGCTTTTTATTTCTTTGCGTTTCCATCTCGTTACCTCTTCGCTATCCTTTGCGCGAATCGATAGAAGCCGATAAGAGCAAAGGAAAATTACGCGTTACCTACCATTGCTCGAATAAATTCCATTCCTGTAAGTGGAAAGGAAGAAACGTTAGTAAAATTGTATTCGCGTTGCATCGTTAAAAGAAGGAACGCTGTAAGGACGGTTAAGGCGTTTTTAAACTACAGACACTTTATCGTGACGTAGAAACGACAAACAGTCGACTCGTGTCTCTATCCTATCGACCGTCGAGTCGTGGTGATCGTGTACGGTGGTGACAACACACTCGTCTGTGGTAACAATGTACCTTAACCACGGCGAAAAAGCAATTTCTGTTTTATCAAACGTGGAAATAGTAGAACTTATGTTATCGCGACACGGTGATCATAATTGTAATATCAGAATGGAAAGGATGGCTCATCAAGCGACTTAATCGCAGTCTCTCGTAGTCGTTAAAGAAATCCGACAGAATTGTAATATTCCTCAGCAACGATAAAATTGCTCCGATGTAAAACACGATGACGTTAACGGTTGATCGAGATCGATCGGTTACGATCGACGTACGTATCACACACACGACACACATGCTAAACTAAATCCTAAACGAAGCAAGGAGAGTAGAGTAAGAGACAGAGAAA